GGACAGCTCCCTCTTAAGGCTTTAGGGATGTTCATTGTCCACAGCATGAGAAAACCAGGAGACAGAGTACCCACTTAGCAGCCCTGCCATCCTGAGCTCTGGCAGCCAAGACATAGAACTTTAGGCCCAGTCGGCGTCAGGACCCTGGAGAGCTCCAGGTCCTCTGGAAAGTGCTGTGCTTTCTGTTAGAGTACTCTGAGTCAGTCCTCCATGTACCTTCTCCCAGGAATACAAAAGGAATTCCTATTGCTTGTGGGGAGAGAGAAGACAGGCTTAAAGAGGGTACAAGAGGTGGATGCTTGGTGCAGCAGCTAAGATGCTGCTGGCGTTACCCATACCCCTGGTCAGAGTGCTGGACTGAGTCCAGACTCTGCTCCTGATTCCTGCTTGATGCTCATCCGTGCCCTGGGAGGCCACAATGACAGCTCCACAAATGATTTGGTCCCTGCCTGGGTTGGGGTCTCAGTGTTGTCTGTTGCAGACATATGGGGCGTGATGGAAGGTGGAAGATCTCTCTCTCTCTTCCCCCATCTGTCTCAGAGCACACTGTGGGAAGTATCTTCCTTGTTGCATCTCTTACAATGAACCTCGCCCTGGGGAGCAGGCTTGTCTTCAGTGCCCCTCCAACATGTGACTCTGGCTGTTGCACAAAGAGCACAGCTCAGTTCCCAAGCCTTTGGCTGGAGAATTTAATTGCGTCTCATCTACACAGCATTTATTTTCATATTTATAGTATCAAAGGACAAGTTTTTGCTTAGAGTAATCACTCACATTGCATGCAGTTAGATAAGAGCATCAGTAATTTGTAGGATATGTGGGTACAGACCAAAAAAATCACACAAATAGTATAAGATTCATTGAACTTTGGTTGGGTTTACCCTGTCTCTGCCTAGGTGGGAAAATGCTGGCCAAGAGACGGTGTGGAGCCATCTTGTGCTGCCCCCACATGTTAGACCCTCTGGCCCTTGGGTTCTGGGTCCTGGTCCCCTCACCACTTTCCCAATGCCTTTTGAGGAACCTCTAGCTTCCCAACAGACCCAGGATCCTGAAAAACATAGGCCAGGGGTTGGGATGTTTTTGGGCAACTCTGCGGGGCCTTCCCAAGGATCACATTCCCCTTGTTAGGAAACACAGAGCTGTGCCCTAGAAGGGGGGGGCGGGATCGCCCCACAACCCCTGTATTGGGATGCAAATGAGCAATTAGAGTCAATTAAGACAGGATACAGTATAATTGCCACCAATTGTGCTAACCTTTATATTCAGAAGGACTTGACCTGCTAAGAGGGATTTAAACCATAGTTTAAAAAAAAATCCCTGAAACCTTTTTAACCAAGGGGTGTGTCTGGGCTGCAAGGCCTCTAGCCCAGGACCTGAGTGGTCTGACAGCCAAGACCCTCCCCACGCCCACTTCTCTTTCTCGGGGGTTTGAGCTACGATGGCAGCAGCCAGGAACAGCCCAGCCTGATGGTACCTTGTCAGAGACCCTATTGTGCCTGTCATCAGGTGCTGCATAATTTAGCATAATGTCTGAGCCTGTGCCGCCTCTGGACCTTCCAGACAAATCTCAGGGCCTCTGACATCTTGAAAGGGACCCTGGATTTGGGCAGAGAGATCTTTGCACCTGAGCACTCCTTAGGCTGTCCTCATCGTGAGCAGTCCTGAGATCTGATTCCAGGACTCCGGCATCTCCTATGGATGCAGCCCCCAGTTGTGTTCCCAGGAGCCATGCTCTAATCTGTTACAGCTCCCAGCTTGAGTCTCTGGTCATCCACCCAACACCTGAGGACGACGGAGCGTGTCTCATGCACCACTCACTGTCCTGGGCGCTACGGGCACAGCAAGAAAAATGCAAAATAGAAACTCCTTTTATTTGCCAAATCAGAAACTCCCAAGGCAAAGAAACTTATGCTGGAAAACAGCTCTCAGTCCTGGGACGTTCTGAGCGGTTCCAGGGGTGAGTGTGTGCTGGGGGCCCAGTGGATGGCCCTGTTCACCATCTCGTCAGGTAGTACACAGATTGTCAGGTAAGGGGAGGCTGGCTCCTGTGGTAAGGCTGAGCAACTTCAAGGTGATCTCACCCAGCCTTGGGTGATAACAAGTCACCCAGGAAGTCTAGAGAGAGCTGGAATTTGAACCCAGGGTTGTGTCACTCAAACCTCCCTCCCACACCATTGCATGTGGGGCTGGGGATGGTAGCCCTGGAGAAGTGACATCAAGCGCCCCGCGATGCAGTCTGGACAGTGTGCAGCTGTCAATGATGAGAAGAAAAGTGACGAAGGGCCTAGTGGTGAGAGAAGAGCTGTGGTTCGGGCACATAGTGGGAGGCCACGTGGGCAGAGGTGGTCACTAATGAAGTGAGGAGGAAGCAGCGGAAAGAGGTAGGGCCAGCTCTAGCTTGGGCACACAACATGGACCCTGGAGGCCCCAAAGCATGTTGTGGACAGTGTCCCAGGCCCATTTCCGCACCCAGGGCGAGTTTCCATCCTACATGTCCGTGGAGGTCCACCTTTAACCCACATTCCCAAGGCAGAGGAAGGCCAAACCCTTCTTTTTTTATTTTAATTTTTAAAGATTTATTTATCTTTATTGGAAAGGCAGATATACAGAGAGGAAAATCTTCCATCCGGTGATTCTCTCCCCAAGCAGCTACAATGGCCAAAGCTGAGCCAATCTGAAGTCAGGAGCCCAGAGCCTCATCCAGATCTCCCACACAGGTGCAGGGGGGTCCCAAGACTTTGGGCTGTCCTCGACTGCTTTCCCAGGCCGCAGGCAGGGAGCTGGATAGGAAGCAGAGCCGCTGGGATTAGAACTGGCACCCATATGGGATCCCAGTGCTTTCAAGGTGAGGACTTTAGCGCTGGGCCCAAATCCCCTCTTGAGGAGCACCCAGAAACACTTTTCCCACCTATCTCCTTAACCTCCTCTCCTGCATGACCCTACATGAGTGGCAGCGTGGTCCTAGGCCCCTCAGGTGTGTACTGCCACATTTAGCAGCTCTTCCTTGTAGACAACACAGGGCTCCAGTTCCTACCACTGTGTTGAGCCCCGGGATGCTCTGAGCAGCCTAAATGAGCCATGGGCTAGATCCAGGATGGATGGCTTCCATCCCAGCTGGTCACAGGGGCTGCCTGGACTACTGTGCAGGGTTCCAAGGCAGCAGCAGGCTTAGCTGCAGACAGTGCTGGGATCAATTAGTGATGTCTGGCAAGAGCATAGGCAGGGGGGTTGGCAGTACTCCCGTTATTTGTGTAAACTCTCTAGATCAGATCTGCATGACTTTGAGAGCCGACAGCTGATGTCAGAGAAAATCAAAGACAATGACCAGCTGTATGGCATGGCCCAGAGTGGACATTAGAAGGGACTCAGAGGACGCCTGGGGCAGTGACAGTTACAGGCTGTCCTCGGTCCTGTGCTTTCATACCCTATGTGCTGTGTGCATTTCATAATGATGTCCCCTGGCCACCTTTTATGTCCATTCAAAGCTCTCAAACCTTAGCTTAGGAAGGAGGTTTTCTAGACCTTGACCTGCTAGCCCGTGGCTTCCTTCTACCAGGCCAAGCCGTTGTTGTCTGCCCTGTCTGCTCTCAGGGCTTGGAGCTGTTCCTGAGAAGGTTTCCCTGCCTTTGTGGCTTTGCAGCAGGAGTGTGAAGTGAGAATGGGTGCCAGTGCAGGGAGCATGGTTCTCTTAGAGTACAGGCAGGGTGTCCACTCAGGCTATAAGCAGAACTGCCTGAAAACAATCTCAGGCCACGCTGTGAATCACGCCATGGCCATGGGCCACGCTGTGAGTCACGCCACAGCTGACACCAAAGAGCCTTCCCTAGATGCAGAAGGGCTTCGGAGAGCTCCTGGGAAACATGTGTTCCGCTGCATGTGGGAATGCTGCCTGCATGGTCCCAGGGCCTGGTGCTCAAGGAGGCACCTGCCTTAGTCTTTAAAAGATTTATTTATTTTTATTAGAAAGTCAGATATACAGAGAGGAGGAGAGACAGAGAGGAAGAGCGTCTGTCCACTGATTCACTCCCCAAGTGGCTGCAATGGCCAGAGCTGAGCCAATCCGAAGCCAGGAGCCTGGAGCTTTTTCCGGTTCTCCCATGCGGGTGCAGGGTCCCAAGGCTTTGGGCTGTCCTCATACTAGGCCCAGCACCTGCCATCTTACCTTTGATCTTAGCCAAAAGACCGAGAAGCAATGCACCTGCCCTCTCGACCTGCACAGGGTAAGACCTTCAGCTTGATGCACCAAAGCAAGTGTCTTTTAGTCCTGTTTTCTGTTATCCTTGGAAGTCCTCTTGCTTAGTTCATGCAGGGCACCTGAGTCAATGCTGTCCAGGACCCGCTCAGGGACTTAGGACATGTGGCCAGAGCGCTACGGGCAGCTTGAGTGGTGAGTGGCGTCGTGGTGGAGGGTCCATTTACATGACCACCAGCTGTTCCTGAGTTTTCCATGACAATGTTTGTAGGCATTAAGGGGTAAGATAGCCGAGCTTGGGAAATGTCCTGAATGTGAAAGGGGGCAGACCCTGGTCGTTCCGGACGTGTCATCATCTGGGACAGCAGTGGAGACAGGTAAATGGAAATGACAGGCCAACATCCTCCATGGGACACTATACAGAGACCCATGTTAACTGACCGACTGACTGGGATTCCTTTTGAAGGAAGGAGTTAGGGAGACAGCACGATGGCTCAAGTGACTAATCCTCCACCTGTGAGCACTAGCATCCCATATGGACATTGGTTTGTGTCCTGGATGCCCCGCTTTCCATCCATGTAAATATTATGCCATCCTTGTTCTTGTTGTCAAGTTGTCATTCTGTGCCTGGCTCCCACAGAGAACTGGGTAAAAACAACATGAGCCACATATTCCATGGACGTACTTGTCAGCCTTCTAAAGGAGGGCATCCTGTAAGAGGGGACCATAAGGTTGAGCCTTACGCTGTCATGTTGTGTGACCCAAGCCAGCTGCTGTCACCCCTCTTGATGCTTTGATCTCTTCTGGCCAGGTTGTCTATGTCACGGCTACATTCCCTTACATCATGCTGCTCACCCTCCTCATCCGAGGGGTCACGTTGCCGGGGGCTTCTGAAGGTGTCAAGTTCTACCTGTACCCTGACCTCTCACGGCTCTCCGACCCACAGGTAAGAGCCACGTGCTTAGTCACTGAGTGGGGTCACCGGCCACTCCCGGGAAACCCCACTACAGAGCCCAGCCTTCCGCCTATAAGGCTTGGTGACCAGTTAAACAGCTGAAAGTCTGCAGGCACGATTTCACAATGATAATTTTGAATGCCCTAATGAGCTATGTAGACAGATACATGGAAACCCAGTCACTGGAGCGTTTCGAAAAAGAAGTTTGTACCTGGTGTTATAGGTGCTGCTTTGCCAGTGTCCGACTTAGCAGGACCCGGCAGTAGTTCTGACCCAGGCTCAGTGTCCGTTCTCCCAGAGCCATGGGATCTGAAGCATTTGAGATTTCAGATCTTTTGTTCAGATTTCTGTAATGTTTTCACATACACAGTAGGCAGTTTCTGCGCTATTTGAAGTGGTTTTGTGCCTGAGATGTGGAATTATCCATTTGTGTGGTCGTGTCCATTCTCAGAGGCTCTCGAATCTGAAGCCCTTGAATCTCTAGGGATGAGGGATGCCCAGGCCGTGTGGTGATTTTACACTGGCTGCTGGGGTTCCTGCTGCGGGCAGGGCTGGAGTTTGTGGATGCGGAAACTTGGCTACAGTTGAACACCTGTGATGACATGGAACAACGCCGTTTGCCCACCCAGGTCTCCTCTCTGTGTGTGGTGCGTCCCCAGGAGGGGGCCAGGGACTGTGCTGGCTATGGGGTTCTTTGTGGGGGAGCTGACAGAAAGGAGAGAAGCTGGCAGCCTCTCTTCTGCCTTTGGGAAGGTGCCGTCTGTTCTGAATAGTGAGTAGAGCCTGTATATGCCTAAGCCTCTTGAAGTGGGCACACGGCGCCAGGCCTGGGAGGATGGTGGCAGAGAGCAGGGCTGCCTGGCAGCAGGGTCGAACCTGGCGACCAGCGTCAGGAGCTCCTCCACTACGGGCTAGTGGGAAATCCTTGCTGGAGTTCAGGGCAGGGCATTGGAAGCGGTGCTAGGTGTTTGGGGCACCTGCTGGCCCCTGGCACTTGCTGTGTACAGAAGGAAAAAGGTGGAGATGGAAAGAGGCACCTTTTATTTTCTATCAAAACCTGGAGGGGCTCTGTGGAACTCACACTTTGTCTTCACGTAGAGCCTAAGGGTGGCCAGAAATTCCATATCTGTGGCTACTAGGTGGCCCGGGTCCCAGCAGCTGGAACGGAGGTGCACGTGTAGTGGCTCATTTGTGCAGCTCAGAGGGGCCTCTTTAGGCCAGATGGAGTGGGCAGCAGAGGGGAAGTGTGGGTTGTGGAATGTGCAGGGCCTGGAGGCTCAGCGCAGCCTGAATTGCAGGCTGAACCCCCAGGAAGAAGGAAATTAGCTCCTGACGGTGCACCTCGCAGGCTCCAGCTCCTGAAGGAAGAGGCTCAGCTGAAAAACGGTTTTGGGGAACTTCTCCCCAAGACTGCTACCTGCATGTTTTAGTCCTACTCTCTGCCAAGACCCTGAATGGGTAACCTGTTCCAACTTATTTCCTTCGTTCGTGGGCTTCTGTTTCCTAGCCTTCAGGGTGGTCCCTCAAGAGGTATGGAGCACCCCACCCCTTGAGGTTCCAAATACAGCTCATCATCAGAAAACCTTGGAACATGCTAGAAATGCAGGCCACAGGAGGGACCTCAGGGTGGTACCTGGGCATTTGTGTTCTGAGAAGGTTCGGAGGCAGTCCTGATGCTCTGAGAAGGTTGGGAAAATCTGCTTGACACCGCAACCTTTGAGCGCTGCACAGACACGCATGCATGTGCACTCACGCGGCAGACAGTGAGCCTCTTAGCTCCCCTGCACGAAGCGGGGCTGTTCCCAGCTGCAGCCTGCCTTTCATTGCTAGCCCAAGACGTCTCTGCAGCGCCGTTCCATAAGGTTAGAGCAAGAGCCTGGGCTGTGAGTTGGACTGTGGCTTCTCCTCGACCTTGGACGAGTCCTCTTTGTCTTTCCCCTTCCAGGCCTTACAGTTTCTGAGTTGATGGTGTTTTCCAAGGAAAGTCAGGGTGCTCCAACTTTTTCATGCCACGTGGGTGAGCAATCTGGAGCCTGCAGACCAAGCCCAGCCCTCTGCCTGTTTTTACGCATAAAATTGTATTGGAATACCTTTATATCATTTGTCCACACCCTGTCTGCAGCTGCTGGAGTGTGACAGAAACCGCGTACCTTCCCATGCTAGGGGTCGAGGCCACACACACAGACTGTGATTCCCCGGGAGGATTCAGAGCCCTCCTCAGAAAGTTTATCTCCATCATCAGCGAGAGCAGGAGGCCTGTCAGGGGAGTCTGCCAGTCAGTGTGGAAGAATCTCTGTACCCGGTTCTGGCAGAGGCCACAAGTTTCCTTCCGAGAGAAACTGCCCAGTGAGCCGCCACTCTGATTACACACCAGCCACAGCCCGTGCAATCCTCTGCAAAGTCACCCTGCTGTGGGATGGGCCACTCTGACTGCACGCCAGCCACAGCCCGTGCAATCCTCTGCAGAGTCACCTGCTGTGGGATGGGCATCAGCCTGAATTTGGGGTCACATTTCCTAGAACCACCTTAAAAGTTAGTCCCCAGACGCCTGCTAAGAACAACAGCGGCCTGCCGTGTGCACATCCTCAAATATTGATTGATTGACTATCTAGTAAACATTGGCTGACCTCTGCCCTGAGCCTTTTTGGAGGCATGTGACACCGAGCTGACGGATTCCCCTTCTCCTGACCACCGCTGTACCCATGCTGCCACCTGCTTGGTGGAGGCCACCACTTGAAACGCCCTAATTATCTTCCAGAAACCACATGTGGCCCCTCCAGGCCACACTGCGTGAAATGCAGATCTCATGGCCACTTTTTTTTTTAATTGCAAAGGCAGATGTACAGAGAGAATTTTTTTTTTCAGAGTTCTTCCATCTTCTGGTTCACTCTCCAAGTGGCCACAATAGCTGAAGCTGAGCCGATCTGCAGCCAGGAGCCAGAAGGTTCTCCTGGGTCTCCCATGGGGGTGCAGGTTCCCAAGGCTTTAGGCCATCCTCCATTGCTTTCCCAGGCCACAAGCAGGGAGTTAGGTGGGAAGTGGAGCAGCTGGGACACAAACTGGCACCCGTATGGGGTCCTGGCACTTGTAGGCCACCTCTTTGCTTCAAGCACTTCTGGGGTTTGCTGTGGCATTTGGAGTCAGATCTAGATGTGTGGGGCGGGGGGCTTGGTGGCTTGTGGGCCGACTCTGTGTTGTGTCTCCTTCTTTGTTTTAGTCGTCTTTCTCTTCTTCCTCTTTTTCTCTCTTATTCTTTCTCCATTGAATACAGTTACTTCCTTTCTGGGCCTCAAGTTCACAGAGCCTTTCTGCCTCTGAGCCTTTGCACATGCTTTTTCTCTGTCCGGAGCAATTGTCTCCTGCCCTCCCCACCCCATCCAGACCCTCTTTCCCTGCTTTAATTGACTAGTGTTCACTCATCCTTTAGGACTCAGCTCAAACTTCACTTCTCAGGCAAGTCTCTGCTCACAGCTCGCCAGGTATCACTTCTGGGGCCTCATGCTGGTTTTCCAGTGAAGCAAGGATCTACATATGAATAGTTTTTATTTGTTCAGTGTCCAGGTATTGGTTCAACAGCTTGTTGCCACCTGTCTGCTCTGTCTGTCGAAGTCGTCTAGATTCTGCTAGACGATGACGGGTGCCCGTGGCAGTGGAGAGGGAATGGGGCATGGGAGTTAGGATTCACTGGAGGGCTTGATTTTCAACAGGAAGGCCATGGGGAAGGTGCTTGGAGGCAGGTCTGCATCAGCCTTGTCCCCTGTGGGATTCCTGACCTGGCTTGTTGCCTGGTACACACTAAGTGCGCTATAAAAGGCTTGTTAAAGGACTTTAAGAGGTAGATTCTCTGGATTTTTTTTTTTTTAAAAGAAAAGATGCTGTTTTTCTCTTAGTCACCTCCAGGTGACCAGATCTGTGAGTTGTAATAGGTTGAACCTTCTGTCACTTATGGCTAGGAAATGTGTGAGTATGTGTCCCCAGAAGGTGATGCTGCTTGTCTGGGATAAAAATAAACAGAGCAACCAACCCCAAGAGGCAGCAGAAGAGAGAACTTTGTAAATTCTGGGACATGGGGAATCTGAGGTGTATTGCAGGAGGTATCCCAAAGTGGCCTGATTCTTGTGTCCTGATGGGAATACCCCAGGCCATGGAGAAACAGGAGGGTACTATTTCCTGTCCTGACCTCCTGCCGTTGGTGGCCAGCTGCAAGGAAAGCTTCTCTCTTCTGCCCTGGAATGATCAACCAACCAGTGTGAAGGTCAAGTGCAATGACCCAGCGGAGGTCACTGTACTCAATGGAGAGGCAGTTTATATCCTTTTTAATGTGTTTATTTTTCCATTGGAAAGTGCACCAGAACAGCAATATCCTCCTCCACAAAGCCATTGCGTCAATGTGTTTGCTACACTGAAGCTCTCATGTAGATCCAGCTCAGGTGTGCACACACACCTGTATGTATATAAACATCACATACATGGTAAAAAGTGAGATCAATTTCAAGGCAGTTGTTGGAAAAGGCCAAAACAGGCATGGCTGTGGCATAAAGTAGTGGCGGTGGAAGGTATGGCCCTGCCCTGCTGGGATTGAGCCACATTCTAGCGTGGCATTAGGACTGCAGGTGGAATGGGGTTGCCCCAGAGACAGTTAAGCCCCAGCCTCAAGGTGAGTGGTGATTGGGAGAGCTGCCACTCATCAGAGATCAGTGAGAGGCCCCCTTCCTGGCTGTGGATGGTGGCTTCCTTGCAGCTAAGTCTAGATTGCTGAGTTTTCGAGTTTTTAAATTAATAATTCTAGTAATAATAATCTCCAGATTCTGGGGATGTACCCTGGCACTGCAGTGATAGCTGTGGGGTTGGTTGCACATGGTGGCTGGAGCTGGCTTTCCTACAGATGCTTGTGGGATTCATGGGGGGAAGATGGGTCTCCCACTTCCGCACTAAAGGTCGTGCTTGCTCGGAGGTGAGCAGTTGAACTCAGCCCCGCAGCCTCTGCCTGA